ACCGACAGACATTCAAAAAAAAAAAAAAAAAAAAGACAATTCTTTTTCTATGTAATGAACCCAGTCAGGAGAGAAACTCAGAAGTGTCGAAATACAAGATAACTCACCGGAGTCAGAGCTGATAACTGTCTCCAACAATAATCGTGAAATGTGATCTGTAACACAATGCCTCCTAAAAAAAAAAAAAAAAAAAAAAAAAAAAAAAAAAAAAAAAAAAGACTGTCTCGTAACCATCGGACGAAGTAGATAAGAGGGAAAATAGACTTAGAGGGTGGAGGAGAAAGTATCCATTAATGTCCACATAGACAGAACTCCCTCAATTCCCACTTCTTCCTTCGGGAATCTCTCCTCATCCACGTCAGCAAACAGTGTCCCAGAAACGAGCCTGATGAGATCTGATCACAGGATAGTGCCACGTAGGTACATATCTCCCATGAAGACGTCTCTGCAGCGCGCAATGTCGACAGCCGCAACAGGTAAGTTCCCTCTCTCTCACTCAGACAATCATCCCACAGCTGCTGATCTCCCTCCTTGTCGACTCCCAATCCGTGTTGAAGACAATGTGGCATGTGCCACGCCAGCAATTCCAAAGACAGCGTGGCAAGTGCCACGTCAGCATCCAAGAAGACAGCTGGCACCCAGAAGCAGACGGGCGCCAGACGCAACGCAATGCAGCAGTCTCCTGCCAGCATCAGGCCAGCGTCGTGCTAGCGCCAAGCAGCAATGCAAGACTGAATGTCGTCGACCCCCAGAAGCAGACGGGCTGGGTCAAGAAATAATGTTGACACTGTTGAGCAGCCTCTGGTCTCCCCCACATACAAAGACTCAGATTGACTCACAGCCGACGGCCTGGATCGAGTACAGTTACAGACTTCCACTTGGACAAAAAGCTGCCTGGATACCTGCGTCAACCAAGTGTGTGTACCTGATTGGTGGCCTGGACTGGGTTCGTGAAGACTTTGACTCGCGAGCCTCAATATTCCGATTGACAGTTGACTTCGGTCGACTGTCGTCGACTGTCGGGGCGCAGGGCCTCTGAAGCCTTGTTTCAGGGGCGTCGTTTACCCCACAGTCGGTCGCAAGGCCTCGGGGGCCAAACTGTGGCCTCCGGGTGGCCCACTTGGCCGACGACATAGGCATATTTGAGTGGGTTATTGCATCTATAATGATTCTATATAGTATTATATGTGAAGAGTTAAAAAAAAAGAAAAAAAAAAAAGAGAAAAAAAAAGAAAAAAAAAAAGAGGTTTGATTTACCTCAATCAGACCCAAATTCACTCGATGTATATTCATGACCTCTTGAGGAATCTGAAAAAACTTTTAAGTTAAAAAAGGCAAGAAGAACGGTTGTCGTGTGCCTAGTGCTGTCTGCTGCTCTTTTCTGCAGTTCGCAAAGTCTGCTCCTTTGAGTCCTTTCGTTGATACGACTTGATAGATATGGGACAACATACATTCATGACACTCATGATACCAGTCAAAAAAA